TTGCAGAGCTGTGGTGAAACCAGGGCCACTTTTTATAGCTGAGAACAATGGCTGAGCGAGAGGGTGGCCCACACTGCCAAGACACTAAGTGTGGAGCCCAGGCTGCAGTGGGTTAATCAGTCTGGCTCCTAAACTGACAATTTAAGTGGCATCGGGGCCTGTGCCCGCTGCCTGGCATACACAAGGAGTGATCGAAATATATGGTGACTGCTGCTGCCGAGCATCATCCATCGGAAAGGCAGCTCCTAAACACACGCCGCTGTGTCCTGTCCACCTTAGTCACCGGATCTGGCACCGTGCAACTTCCTGCTCTTCCCCAAAGTCACAATGACCATGAAAGGGAGACGTTTTGAATCCATTCAGGACATCAAGGCAGCCAGGAGAACGCAGCTAAAGACCCTCAGGACAGAGGACTCCAGAGCTGCTGCAGGAAGTGCCGAGGAGGATGGGATGAGTGTGTGCAAAGCCGGGGAGGATTTTGAGGGGATTCGTGGCTGTGTAGCTTTTACTGCACCAGTAAACATTCACTGTATATTTGGATCGCACCTCGTAGAGACCCTCGGTAAACACCTGCTGATGGATTATTCTCCTTCCTGCAGTGCTAAAGGTCCCAAAAGGCAGCGCATTCAGAGAGGGAGACAGAAAGCACAGGTGGGCAGCGCAGAAAAAGAAAGCCCCTTGCCGGGGTGCAGTCTCGGGAGCGGGGGCGCTCACCGGTTCTGGCTGTACTGCACGTTCTGGGTGAGGTCCACGTTCAGGATGATGAAGTCGTGCACATGGCAGCGCGAGAAGGGCTCCCGCACGTCGCGCGTCCCGCTGGCCCACTTGCGCATGCCCAGGAGGGCGTAGTGCGTGATGTTGGGCGCTGCCTCGATGTGCTGCAGGATGTTCTTCAGCGACACGTTCCTCTCCGACCACGAGAACTCCCTGCCCGGGACGGGGACTCATGACCCTGGGCTGCCGCGGACAGCAGCACCACCCTCCCGGCCGCCCGGGGTGCCGCTTTGCACTGTGACCCGAGGTGGGCACCCTGCTGCAGGCCGCACCAATGCCAGGATTTCTTTGGGCAAAACATGCTCACATCCTGCCTGGCGTGGTGGTGCACGCCTGTAATCCTGACACCCGAGAGGCTGAGGCAGGAGGACTGCCTTGAGTTCAAGGCCAGCCTGAACTACACAGTGAGACCCTGTCTCAAAAAACCAAAACAGAAAAAAACTTGAAAAACATTTACACAGTTTAGCTGATCCTCACAACAAACTGTAGCTTAGGTTGTGTTGTTTTGTCCTTTTGTGGTGCTGGGGATTGAAGCCAGGGTCTCATACATGCAGCCAGGGGCCTTGAACTACCTGTAACCCAAACCTTAGTTTAGGTTTTAAAACCTTCCCAAGATGAGGAAACTAGCCAGATTGGGTGGTACATACGTGTAATCCAGCACTCTGGGAGGCTGAGGCAGGAGAGTCCCAAATTCAAGCCCAGCCTGGGCAATTTAGTGACCTAAGAAAACCCTCTGGGGACTGGCGGGCCCCTTGATGTGGGGGTCAGGGTTGAATGGCTGTGCTTGGTTTGGGAAAAGTTCCATGTATGAGTTATCCTCTGCATACTGCACTAAATCTACAGTGTGTGATTTTTAAAATCTACATTATACTTCAATAATTTTATTTTTTTAAGACAAGGTCTTGCTATGTAGCTCAGCCTAGCCTTGAACTCACTGTGTAGCCCAGGCTGGCCTTGAACTTGCAGTGACCCTCCTGAGTGCTGGGATTACAGGCGTGTGCCACCATGCCTGGCTCAGTAACAATTTTCAAACATTAAAAAAAGCTGGGCTATTTATTTTCAATTTTCACCACTGAACCTGGGGCCTAGCACTGAGATACATCTCCAGCCCTTTTTTCTTTCTTTTTTTACTCTCAGACAGGTCCCTGCTAAGTTTGGGCTCCGACTTGCAAACCTCCTGCCTCAGCCTCCCAGGGTGCTGGGATTCGAGGGCCCGTGTGGTTCAACACAGCGCCATGCCTGGGCCTCTCACCGGCTGCGCTCCCCAGAGCGGTCCACATCCACCACGTTCCACATCACGCAGGAGTCGTCGGAAATGACAATGAACGGCCAGATGTCCTGTGGCTTGATGCCCAGCTCCTCCTGCCGGCTCCGCTCCAGCTCCAGGTTGTGGTAGGACAGCTCCTTGATCAGGAAGTGGGCAGCACCTGGAAGGGCATCCTGACTCAGCTGTCCATACCGCCCCGCACAGAGCCCCGGCTGCACACGCCTGCGCCCAGGCTTCAGATGTATCTGGCTTCCACAGACCGCTGGGCTGAGACAGCGCCCTCTCTGAGTTGTCCACACTGCTGTCCCCCTCTAGTGCTGAAGAAAAAGAACGGGCTGCGTCACCGTGCCACCTACCCACTCCAGCGTTGTTGAAGATGCTGGGCAGGACCAGCATGATATGATTGGGCCAATACTTCTTGTAGATGGCCATCTCATACTCCTTGACGACCAGCACGTGCAGGTGGCTGGCACCGTCCATGGCGTGGTACAGGTTAAAGAGCCCGTGTTCATGCCGGCCAGTCGTCGGTGTGAACGTCGGACTTTTTATGTACTCCTGACTCTGCAGGGCAGAGGTGTGAGAGGGCTTTGTCAGCAAGATCATTGCCCCTCCCGCCTTTGCTCATTTTGGTTTGGTTTGGTTTGGTTTGGTGGCTGTGGACTAACAGTCCCCTCCTCTGAAATGCAATTTTGCAGGGTCTTGCTGGAAAGCTGGGACCCAGGGGGACTCAGGAGTGATTCTGACGAATAAAATGCAGGGAAAATGAGCCCTGCTGGCCCTGAGCGGTGCCTGATGCAGAGCTGTCCCCTGAATGTGGCTCCCCAGGTGCCTGGGGGACCAGGGCCAACCCAGCCTGAACTCCTCAAGCCCGGGCTATAAATGTGCATTGCAGCCAGGGCTCCAGGCCCACTCTCATGGGAAGGCTTTGGATAAATGTGCCCTCTTGTGTCACATTCATGGGGCCACTGCACCCTGACCCCAGATGTGAGGCGGCTTCCTTTTTTAATTTGCTTGTTTGGTGCTGGGGATTGAACCCAGGGCCTTTGCACAGAGCTGCATTCCCAGCCCTTTTTATTTTGCGACAGGGACTCACTAAGTCACTAAGTTGCCCAGGCTGGGAGGCTAAGGCAGGAGCATTGCAAGTTCAAGCCCAGCCTGGGTAACTTAGTGACTTAGCGAGACCCTGTCTAAAATAAAAAATAAAAATGGCTGAGGGCCGGGGATTTAGCTCAGTGGTTCCGTCACCTGCTTTGCAAGCGCAGGGACCCGAGTTCGATCCCAGGTACCCCAAAAAAATGAAAATGGCTGGGGATGCAGCTCCATGCAAAGGCTCTGTTCAGTAACACACAGGATCGTTATTGCCCAACTTTACAGATGAGAAAACAGAGGCTGAACACCACAGCAGGGTTCCAGCTCGAGGCCCCAGCCCACACCACTTCCACCCGCGCCCCCTCGTACCGTGTCGGTGACCAGTGGCAGACGCATGCTCTCCAGCTGGCCCCCAGGCTGGCTGAAGACAAAGTGGTGCTCCTTGGACTTGGGGATGATGAAGTGCAGCTGCACCTCTTCGCCAAGCATGGAGTAGGAGAAGGCGAAGGCGTGCAGGCTGGACTCGTATAGCTGGGCGAGGCAGGAGACACCGCTGGCATCAGATGCCACCCCAGACCCCAGGCCAGGGGGCCGAGACCACACTCAGGTCACAGCCAGTGTCTCCCGGACACATGGTCCCGCCTGTGCCTTCCTGCACCAGCCCTTCCACTCTCTGGGTGTGAACAGACCCCGCCCTGTGCACGGCCAGCTACAGCCGCCACGCTGCACATCCCACTCATACTCCCAGTAACGCAGACCCCACTGCAGGCGCTGTGTGTAACAGCACCCAGGGGTCTTCCCAAAAGAGCTAAAGACACCCCAAAATCGTATCTTACGGTCCCAGGCACCACTCATAGCTGAGTCTTGGGATCAGCCCATATGTCCATCAGCAGATGAATGGATGAAGGGAATACAGTATTTGTATACCACGGGAGCACTATGCTGACATAAAGAAGGATAAACTCGACTCATTTGTAGGAAAACAGGTGCACCTTGAGACCTTAATGTTAAGTGAAATAAATCAGACATGCAATCTGAACTATCACATGGCTGCTCATATGTGAGGAACCCGGAGTATAAATAAATAGCAAACTAAAAGCTGACAGGAAACAGGGAGATTAGATCTTTTTTTTTTAGTACTGCGGATCGAACTTGGATCCTTGTGCCTGCGAGGCAGGTGACGGAACCACTGAGCTAAATCCCCAGCCCAGGATTAGATCTTTAGAAAAAGGGAATGGGATCAGGAGATGGAGGGGCAGGAAGGGGACATAAATCGAATTACGGTGAGTCAGGTCCACACACCAACTCCCCACAGTGCACGTGAGCGTTATGTACTGGAAAGGTGCTAATAAAAGGTGAGAAAAGGAATAATCAGCAGTTCCACTGGGTCCAAATAAACTCTTCTAACATTTTTTTTTTTTTGGTACCGGGGATTGAACTTGGGTCCTTGCGCTTGCAAGTCAGACAGCCGAACCACTGAGCTAAATCCCTGGCCCTGTCTTCTAACATTTTTATTTCTTGGAGCTGGAGTTTTTCTTTCAAGGAAGAAAAAAATACCTGAAAGTTTTCTTGCATTCCTCACCGGGAGTTGGAGCACGGACACAGCGCATCTTAATTCCTTTTCCTCCCCACTGCATCGCTTGGTCCCCTTCCCTTTTGAGAAAGATCTGTCTCCCTACTTCCCTTTGTCTATCTTTTATTTTGCTATTTACACTTTGAATTTCTCGTATAGGAGGAACCTTGTGATATTTAAGCTTGTGCGTTCATTTATTTATTTAACATTACGGACTACTGATTTTAATACTTTAGAAAAATTGCTCATAGGTGCTCTCTTAAGTTCCTCAACAGTAAAGTTACATAGTTTAAAAAATACATCAGTGCTAAGTCAGACAGGAGGGCGCACGCCTGGGATCCCAGCACTTGGGAGGCTGAGGCAGGAGGGTTGCCATGAGTTCCCGCCCAGCGGGGGCTACATAGTGAGTTGGAGGGCAGCCTGAGTTACATAGCGAGACCCTGTCTCAGAAAAATGCAAAACAACAAAACAAAAAGTGAACACTTAAGACTCCCCACACCCCTGACTCAGTGTCCCGCAACACCCAGCCCAAATGATGCATCAGGCCACGGCCCCACTCCCCTGGCGGCCACTGCTGTCCCTTCCCCTCCCACAGGAAAGGCGCCCCTTCCTCACAGTGCCCGCCGGAAGTGTGTGGGATTCGGGGGCTCTGCAGTTGGCTATTGCAGAGGCTCCGCCAGTCTGGTGGCCCTCGTCTGAAATCAGAAAGTTTTTCAGCATCTGCTCAGGGGTGACTTTGGATTTTCGGATTAGGATAAGGAGGTTTTGGTGGAATGGAGGAAGAAACTAGACAGGGTCTCCTCCCGGCCTGTGTGTGGCTGGGACACAGACCCTGGGAAGCAGCCAGGACTGAGAGCCAGAGCCCCGGGCTGGCACCATACCATTCATGTCTGTCCAGGCAAATTAACTTCTTTCTTTCTTTCCCTTCCTTCCTTTCTCTTTCCGGTACTGGGGATTGAACCCAGAGTCATCACACTAAGCAACATCACCAGCACTTTAAAAACTACTTTTTATAATTTTTTATTTTGAGACAGGGTCTAAGTCACTAAATTGCCCAGGTTGGGTTTGAACTTGCTTCACCCTCCAAGAATGCCAGAATTACAGGTGTGTGCCACCACATCTGGCCAAGCAAATATTTTCTATCACAGAAGAACACTGGGAAGGACTGATGGGAAAAGTGCCTGGACTTGGCTCGGCATACAGCAGGTGCAAATTCTTCCCCTTAGTGATGTGGTTTGGAACCCTCCACCCCAGCTTCCCCATGTTCTGAAATCTTGCTCAATGCACATCTCCCTCCCAGCCCCATCCCTGAGGATGTTGTTCACATCCACATCCCCAGTGCCGGGGACAGAGGAAGCACAGGAAGTGAGTGTATGTGGCACCAAGCCAACATCTGGAATTGCTGGGGCCTGAGAGCCAGGACACCCAGTGACCACTGATGCAGATGCCCCAGGGAGTGGCAGCCCTGTGTAGGGGCAGAAGGGACACGCAGGGACAGGATGTTCTGCCCAGGAGCAGTCACCAAGGCTCCGGGCTGGCCAGCCGGCGCCTACCTGGTAGCGGGGGTGGGAGCCCATGTAGTGCTGGCACTGCTCGCAGTGGTGGTAGGTGTTGTGTGCTGCGTACTTGGACAGCCGCATCCGGGCCGTCTGCCGACGCACAGGGGGGTCCTCGGGCCTCCGGGTCCCTCTGTCTGCACAAAGGCCCCAGGGTCACAGAGCGGAGGGGCAAAGGTACTGTCCCACCCCTGCCTGTCTTTACCAGGTGTGGTCAAAAATGAATGCAGCTGCCGAGCCCAGGCAACGAAAAGGCAGCTCCTAGAAATACAACGTGTGTCCTCATCCACCTTAGTCACCAGATCTGACACCGTGTGACTTCCGGCTCTTCCCCAAAGTCAAAATGAGCATGAAAGGGAGACGTTTTGAGTCCATTCAGGACCTAGAGGCAGCCAGGACAGTGCAGCTAAAGACCCTCAGGACAGAGGACTCCAGAGCGCTGCAGGAAGTGGTGAGGACGATGGGATGAGTGTGTGCAAAGCGAGGGGAGGATTCTGAGGGTAATTAATGGCAGTGTGTCTATTACTGTAATAAAATGTTTTAACCTCCACCATATTTCCAATCACACTTCCTACTTAAGGGTCTACTAAACATCAGTTTAAACTGCGTGCGGACTTAATATGCAAACACTGTAATGCTGAGGAATTGCCCCGATTTTTTTTCTTCAAATGATTTGGCAGGATTAAGGGGTTTTTGTTGGTCTGCTGTTATTGGTTTGTTTTTTCCAGTACTGGGGATTGAACCCCAGCCCTTTGCACTGAGCTACTTCCCCAGCCCGTTTTAGTTTTTATTTTGAGATAGGGTCTCACTAAGTGGCTAAGTTGGTGCCACAGTGGTTCCTTCCTCCTGCGAGCAGGTGCCTGGCCTTCTTGGTTTGGAAGCAGGTCAGAGTCTGCCACCACCACCAGATTCATCATTAAGAAGACACAGCTTAGCCCAGCTGAGCTCTAGTGATATATAAGTTGGTATGAGCTGAGCGTGGTTGTGCATGCCTGTGATCCCAGCACTCTGGGAGGCTGAGGCAGGGGGATCTCAAACAGCCAAAGCTGGGCAACTCAGTGACTCTCAGGCAAAGCAGGGCCCCAGTCTGACCTTCCCTCTTGACGCCCTTCTGGTGGGAACAGATCAGACTGGCGTCCTCGTACTTGGGGTCGTGGATGAGGTAATCAAAGGGCATCTTCTGGAGCAGCTCTGGGTCCGGCCAGGAGTCACTGAGCTGGGCGTAATGCCCCTCGGATTCTTCCCGGGGGCCTGCAAGGTGACAGGGAGGGGATGGCATGAGGAAGAGGACGCTGTTTCCCTGTGCCCGGGGAGAGGCCAGGAGCAGAGCTGCCGTTTATTAGCCGCTTCAAGGAGTCTGAGGCAGGAGGATTGCCACGTCTCAGGGCCTCCTGCCAAGGTCTGATTCTCGGGACTGTGCCAGGGAGGTGACAATGTGCCTTCTGGTCCGTGACGCCAGGGGCCGGCTCTGTCCACGTGCTGACACTGCTTCCTCCCGGGTCCTGCCGGGGCCCTGGGCCCGCGCCTCCTCCAGCGCCACCTCTGGGACCACAGGGTCCGGCACCCCGGGGGCCTGAATCTCTCCCGCCAGCCCTCATGGTGCCACAGCAGCCAGCCCTAGCCTTGGGCCTCCCGTTTGCCGCCAGCAGCATTTACAGCCCCAACCCCACTTCCCATCACCGGCGACAGCTTCCACATGACGGGCACCGCTGGGCCACCACCGGGTGCTCCCCAAACCTGTGCCGACTGCACGGGGCAATAACAGTCAGGCTGTGTGACTCAGACAGCGCAATGCACGCTTTGCATGACCTGTCGTCTGCAGCGCACTGAGATGTCAGTCTGCAGTGATTCATGCCCACGTTCATCACGATCTCCTAACTGCCCAGAACACAAGAGCAGGGATGTGCCCAGAAGGAGGGAGCTAGGCATGGTGACACATGCCTGGCACCCCAGCCCTCTGGGAGGCTGAGACAGGAGGATTCCAAGTTCCAGCCCAGCCCGGGTAACTTGGTGACTTAGCGAGACCCTGTCTCAAAATAAAAATTTTTAAAAGGGCTGGGGATGTAGGACAGAGCAAATTGCTGGATAAAAAAGAGAGAGAAGGAGGAGGGAGATGAAGACTTACTGTATACTGCATAGATGCCCAGCACTTCCTGTGCGTATCAGATCTCCATAACCCCCTGCACAACGGCAATAACTATTTTATGAGGCAAAATAGAGGGAGTGGTGATGTTTCAAAATGGGCTTGGACGTTTGCGGAAGTGGGTTCCAATCCTGTCCCTGTCACTGGTCTCTCCGGGAAATGAGACGACAGCCCTGCAGCAGACGGAGCCCTGAGTCCTGAGTTCTGTCCTCGTCAGACTGGGTCTCTGAGACGCCGTGCGGGCCCTCGAACTCACGAGAACAGCGGCTCGGCCACAGCCGGTCACAGCGGGGGCTGCACCTCAAGGTCCACAGCCAGCTCCAGGGGACCCCGCGTTCCGCTTACTCCTCATTTGCCCCAAATGTCCCCCTCGCTCAGCCCGGCCACGAGAGGGTGCTCCACTCGCCGATCACTCGGGGACCTGCAATCTTTGCCCTCTCCCTGCTTTTGTTGTAAACTTTCCGTGAAATTTACTCTTACGCATTTGCAGCACAGAATGAGCACATCCTCGTGGGGTGCCGGCGTGTGCCCAGCGCATCTTCAGTCTTTTTACATCCCCTTCTCCCTCATTCCTTGGTCCCCTTCCTTTTTGCAAAAAAACTCTATCTCCTTCTTTCCTATGATCTATCTTTTATTTTACTGTTTATACTTTGGGGTTTTCATAAAAGAGAAACCATAAGTGATTTATTTCACTTCACATTATGGTCTCAAGATCCATCCATTTTCCTACAAATGGCCCAAGCTTATCCATCTTTATGGCAGCGTGGTACTCCATGGTGTGTAAATACCACATTTTCTTTACCCGTTCATCTGCTAATGGACATGTAGGCTGCTTCCAAGATTTAGCTGTTGGGAGTTGTTTAACACCAGGAATTTTATCCCTGCAAAGCTCTCTAAGGTTTGGCTCAGATACTGAAAGGAAGGAGTGAGAGTGGAAAGTCCCAGCAGGGCTGTCGGAGGAAAATCCCATCCTGAGAGTGACAGCACAACAACAGGTGCAGGGACACTGATGGAGTCAGCAGAGACCCAGCCCCGGGCCCCGGGCCGACCCTCACCAGTGTTGATCTCTGCCTCGTCGTACACGTCCACCTCCGTCAGCCGCACGAGCATCCTGGACAGGTTGCTGAGGAACTGCAGGTAGGCCCCCGTCTTTCCGATCTGCAGAGACATGGTTGTGAGGGACACCCACCCGCTCCTGTCAGGCTCGGAGGATGAAGCCTGAAGCCAGGGGGCGTGGGCAGGGGACGGCAGGAGCAGCAGTCCTGGTGACCCCGTCACCCGAGCTCACTCCACACTCACCCTGAACCAGCCGTGGTTGCTTTGTTTGCTTTTGCAGCACTGTGGGTGGAACCAGGGCCTTCACACTTGGCTGCGCCCCAGCCTTTTTTTTTTTTTAATTTTGAGACAGTGTCTCACTAACTCACTAAGTTACCAGGCTGGGCTGGAACTTGGAATCCTCCTGCCTCAGCCTCTCAGAGTGCTGGGATGACAGGTGTGCACCACCACGCCCAGCCACCAGCCGGGTTTTAAAAAGGACTTTCTCACAAGCTGAAGAAAGCTCCCTGAAAAACAAAAGAACTGGCCACGTGAAACACAATATCCTCGAGGAATTCTGCACAAGACACAATCAGGTGAAGCCTCGCTTGTCTCCTGCTGAGCCCATGAAAGGAACTGTTCTCTTCATCTTTCTCTCTTCCTGGACCCCAGGCCCCTGCTCCCCAACCCGGCACCCGGCCAGTGCTCTCCCTGTGCATCTAGTTCATTTAGATTACAGCTGATTGAGGGGCCCAGGGCTCCTGAGGCCCCCACCACCACATGGTCACCCAGCACTGCACTTTCCGAGTACCTCAACCCAACTCCTGCTCTGGAGCAGGAACTCAGCAAATCTCTGCAAACAGAAACAACTAACTTCAAAAATGAAAATATGAGGGGCCGGGGATTTAGCTCAGTGGTTCCGGTGTCTGCCTCGAAAACGCAAGGTCCAGAGTTCAATTCCCAGTACAAGAAAAGAAAAGAAAACATGACCCAGTCATGGTGGCACATGCCTGTAATCCCAGCATCCAGGAGGCTGAGGCAGGAGGATCACCTCGGATTCAAGCCCAGCTTGGGCTACATAGTGAGTTCAAGGCCACCCTAAATGACATAGTGAGACCCTGTCTCAAAGACCAACCAACCAACAAACAAACAAACAGAAAATTTGACATACAACCAGGAGAAGCTCCAGAGAAAATATTTACAATACATATAATCGACAAAAGATGAAAATCTATGCTATGTAAAGTCTACAAATCAACAAAACAGTTGAACTGCCTAAAGAAAAAACAAACAAGAGATACTCATAGGAAAAAAAACATTGAAAAAGAAGTAACAACAACCAGTGACCACGTAAAACTATGTCCCATCTTTTTAATGACACTGTGATACACTATTTCTCTCCTATGGAATAGCCAAGAACCCTAAATATTGATACTATCCGGCCAGTGTGGTAGCACATGCCTATAATGCCAGCACTCTGGGAGGCTGAGGCAGGAGGACCCCAATTCCCATCTGGAAGCTTTGTTTCTAATGGTTAGAGTCAGTGGAGACTGCACAGGTTTGCTGCCAAGACCAAATGTGATCACGTGGGAAGGAAGAATCTTAACTGGAAACTGTGACGAGCACCCACAGGATATCTCTCCCTCCACCCCAACCAGGCAGAGGAGGAAAGGGTGGTTAGACAGCGGAAGTCAGCTGGCCATGAGCAGAGGCTGAGTCTGCCCGAGTTCACCTGCCCACTCCACCACAGGAATGGCAAAAACCATGGTGTTATGATTCAGACCTAGATGCCCCCCAAAACCTTGTGTGTTCAGAGCTGGGTTTCAGAAAGTGACTGGGCCATGGAGCACTGTGCTCCTCAGTGGATCCATCCTGGGTGAGTTCAGGGCTGACTGTGCTGTAGGAGGTGGGGCCTGTTGGGAGGAGGTCACTGGGGGGAGACCTGGAAGGGTGAGTTCCTGTCCCCAGTCCCTCCCTGCTCTCTCTGCTTCCTGGCGGCCATGAGGTGAGAGCCCTCCTCCACCAGGCCCTTCCGCCATGATGTTCCTGCCTTGGAGCAGCCGACCATGGACTGAACCCTCTGAAACCATGAGCCAAATAAACCTGTCCTCCTTTAAGCAATGACAGGAAAATGGCTAAGAAAACTGTATACTGTCACCCTTAAGCCTGCCTCTCTAGTGTGACCCCGGGACAACCCCAGAGCCTGGGCCATGGGCACAATACCCACCTGCGGGGGCCCACTGAGCAGCAGCCGGCGGGGATGAAAGCCGTCCACACGGCCCTCAGCGCGGTTGCCGTAGTCCATGTGGCTGGGCCGGGGCACCGTCCACTGTCGGTAGTACAGTGACTGCTCAGTGGAGGTCATGGTCTTGTTGAGCAGGGGCCGGAAGGAGCTGGTCCACATGACGGAGGGTGCGGGCAGCAGGGAGGTGGCCTTGGGCAGGCCACTGCTGTCGGTGGCAGTGAGCATGTCGTACACCAGCTTGGGCAGGAAGACGACGGGTGGCTGGCGGCAGGCCTTGGCCAGGGCGCACTTCGAGGCCTGCAGGAGCACGTCGCCCGAGCAGGTCGCGCCCGGGGAGGAGGAGGACTGCTGCGAGGACGAGGTGGCCGGCACCTGCAGGCTCCGCTGGCCGGCCCTCGGGGCACAGTTGGACCGTGGCTTCTCCCCGGGTGCCCTGGCCTCCTCCACGGGGCCAGTGGGCGGGGAGGACCTGGCCGGCTCCCCCTGCACAGGGCCAGGGGGCTGAGCCGCGGTCTCGCTGCAGGGGCCCAAGCCTGGGGAGAGAGGCCCGGGTCAGGGAAGCCCAGGCCCCTCGGCACAAAGCCCGCTGCCCCCGGCACGCACCCAGGCCCCCAGCTCCCAAGGGTCCTGCACTCCACCGGCCTCTGCAGCCCACAACAGCCCAGCCACCAGTCCCTCGCAGACCCTCACCAGACACGAGGGAGGACAGGGAGGAGCACGCCGAGTCGTGGGAGCAGGACCGCTCCCTCTTCACGGGGCTGCGCCTCTCCGAAGGCCAGGCTGCTCCGAAATGTGCTGGAAATCGGAAATCCACCGGCGTCACCAGCCCCTCCCAGCCCCGCACCTTACGTGGCCGGGCCGGCGCCATCCCATGTCTCTCACCCTGCTCCTCCATCATTCCTGCTTTGATTTTTGTGAGATAAGGTCTCCTGGAACTCAGGGTGATCCCCCTGCCTCAGCCTCCCAAGTGCTGGGATCACAGGCCTGCCTCCTTCCTCCCTTCCATCTGCCACTTCCCAGCAATCCTGAGTTCACCACACTTAGATCCCAACTGAACTCACAGGCGGCCTGGCCACGCCCCAGGTGGCGGCCCCCTCACCTTCTGTCCCTGCCTCCTCGTCCTCGGAGATGCTGGGCTTCTCGCCATCGCTGTCTGGGGTCTCGCTCTGGGCCACCTGCTCCGGGGCCACCTCACTGTGGACAAAATAGGCGGCCAGGCCGAGCTCCTGCTCCAGGGCTGAGCGCACCAGGCAGGAGGCGTTGATGAGGCGAAGGTCACAGTACCGCAGGGACCTGGCGGATGGGTGGGCGCGGGGTCAGGGCTCCTTCCCTTCCGGGCCTGTGCTCGGGGCGGCCCTGACCCTCGCCTCAGGACAGCGCTGCCTGCGCCCCAGCAGCATGGAGCTCCGCGGGCTCCCCCGACACCGGCTGCAGTGCACACTGTCGCACGTAAGCAGAACGGCACCAACTTTCCGGTCAGACCAAGCGGGCCTGGAACCCAGCTTTGTTTAAGGGATTAAAATTGACACTGTGCTCACTCTGGGACTTTTTTTCCTGTTTTTCTTCCCGGGTCTCGTTATGTAGCCCAGGCTGCCTCAAACTCAAAGTGATCCTCCTGCCTCAGCCTCCCGAATGTGAAGCTCTGATATTTTTGGATCTGCCAGATGGGATCCAAGCGCATCGACACTTGTGAGCCTGACACTGAGTCGTTCTGGGCCAGGGTCTGTGTGGGAGCTGGGCTATGACAGCTCTCAGGTGGGTCTGGGCCACACTGACCTGGAGATCTGTCCTGCTCAGTGGCCTGGAGACAGACACGGGGGTGACCTGGGTCCCAGTGGAACCGCGACCCCAACGCCAGCTCATGCTGCGTGGTTCTGCAACGGTCGGCCCCAACACAGGCACCCACTGCACCCTAACTCCACTGCACGCCCACAGCTCCTCGAGGAGCCCAGCGGTGGCTTCGAGCACTGAGGACAGCTCCGCGCTGCCCCTGGAAGCCGGCCACAAATACATGACCTGACCCTGGGGATGCAAACGGTGCCCCCTACAGGCAGGCAGCAGCAGCCCCGCGGGCGCCCTCCACACCTGGGCAAGGACTCGCCGTGCGGGTCCATCCCGCTGAAGATGAGGATGCAGGGCAGGCCCTCCAGCTCCAGGTACGTCTGCGGCCTCCACTCGGCATCCTCGATCTTCTGCCACATCTAGAGACGAGAGAGACAGGCCCCCCGAGTCTCAGCCTCCCGAGGGCTGTGATGGCGTGTGTGCCACCACGCCTGGCTCCCCAGCCCGCCCGGGCTCGAACGTGCAACTCTCCTGCCTCAGCCTCCACAGTACTGGCCTGGCTGGAGCCCGTGGCCCCGCGCCCTGCGCCACCTTGAGCTGCTTCACGAAGTGCGTGCCCACGGAGAGGCCGGAGCGCGGGTCGCCCAGGATGATCTCGAAGTGCTCCTCCAGGGCCAGCCGCGCCCGCACATGCGCCAGCCGCTCGTAGGCCACTGCGGCCAGCGGCGGGCAGGGCACACGCAGCAGCACCATGAGCCCGTGGCCACGGGGACACTGCCGGGGAGCGTGCAGGAGGTTCTGCGTGATCTCCAGCGTCTCCACCGACGTGTGGTTCTTCATCTGCGGGAGGCCGCGCGCCGCCATCAGCGCGGCCGCGTAGTGCTGCACCAGGACCAGCGTGCGGATGACGGCGCTGTGCAGGCGTGGGAACCTGCGGGTGGGCGGGCAGCAGCGTGACCCGGGGGCCCAGGACACACAGCTCGCGAGTCCCGGCCGGGGCAAGGACGGGTCTTCTTGCCAAGTCCCCCAGGCTGGGCTCCAACATGGGATCCTCCTGCCTCAGGCTCCCAGAGAGCTGGGTTGACCGGCGTGCACCACCGCGCTCAGCCTGATCTGATTTAGCAGAGGGAGAAGAAGCCAGAAAGGAAAGTTTCGGGGGGCAGCGGACAGCGACTCAGGCGCTCAACGTGTCCGGCACGTTTCCGTGCTTTTCAGGTGTGAGTTCCTGTAACCGTTATTCCTGTGAGGTATTATTACCCACACTGAGTCCTGACAGCAGTGAGTGACAGACCCAGGACTCAAACCCGGCCCCAGCTCCCAGCACACACCTGTTAACGTGTGTGCACAGAGGCCCTGATCTACAGGAGGGTGCGGGGTCTGGGCAGGTGAGACGATTTGCTCACGGTAAAAACCTTGAACAAGCCAGGCGGTGGTGCACGCCTGCCATCCCAGCTCTCTGGGAGCCTGAGGCAGGAGGATCTCAAGTTTGAGTCCATCCTAAGCAATTTAGTGCCTTAGCGAGACCCTGTCTCAAAATAAAAATAAACAAAATGAAAGGGCTGAGGATGCAGCTCCGTGAAAAGCCCTGGATTCAATCCCCGTAGTGCAGAAAACCAAACACCCAGACGTGGGGGCCGCTCAGGGAAACTGTGGGACTCAGTGAAGTTGGAAGCCAAGCCCCAGGGCAGCGGGGCCCCGCGTCTCCGTCCGCAGAGTCGGGTGAGCGCAGGGCTGCGCTGAGGACGGCTGAGGCCCAAGCTCAGGCTGACCCCGCCTCTACAGCACACAGCGCCGCCTTGGCTTCTGGGTCCCCAGGTAAAGCCTCAGGGCCCCTCCGCTCAGCTGTGTGGTCGGCCTGGTTCACGTCCTCAACGTCACAGGACCCAGCGGTACTGACAGCGCCTGTTCCTCCCGGGTGTTCTGGGGAATCCCAGTCCCAAGCGCCTGGCTCCCCTGGCCTAGCGGGCCCTCGCGCCTGGGCGCTGAGGGCCGCGGAGAAACCCGTCCTCCTGTCGTGCTCTGCAAACCCCCTTGACCCCGGGGCCCTTTGGCCCGAAAGCCACGGTGTTCTAGCAAAGCAGCGCACAGCTGGGGAGACAGCCGAGCTCAGCCCCGCTGGGGAGAGGCAGCGGTCAGCTCGCACGGGGCGGTCAGCTCTCGGCCGTCAGCTTCCTCATCCATCTGTAAAGCCAGGTCTCTCAGCACACAGCTCACAGTAGCTCAATCCTGCAAGCAGCCTGTGTCCATTAGCAGAGGTGGATAAAGGAAGTGCGGTACAGAGGCGGGACACAGCTCAGCGGCTCCACCGCCTGCCTCACAAGGGCAAGGTCCTGAGTTCCATCCCCGGTACCAAAAAAAGGAAATATGGTACACACCGTGGAGCACTATACTGCTATCAAGAAGGATACACTTGAGGCATTGTGGGAAAATGGGTGCACCTTGAGATCATAACGTTGAGTGGAATAAATCAGGCACTCAAGCTTAAATACCACATGATTTTTCTCACGTGAGAAACCCAAAGTATAAATAAAGAGCAAAATAAAAGAAAGATGATAGGAAACAGGGAGATGGATTTTTTGCAAAAGGGAAGGGACCAGGAGATGAAGAGAGGGGAGGGAAGGGGAGCAGGGGGAGGGGAGGGAACAGAAAAAGAATTACAGTGTGTTATGTGCATGCACCCGCTCCCCACAATGAACACCATCATTACGCACTGCAGACATGGCCTAATAAAAATAAGAAAAAATCACCAGGTGTGTTGACACACACCTGTAATCCCAGCACTCAGGAGGCTGAAGCAGGAGGATCTCTGTGAGTTTGAGGCCAGCCTGAGCTACATAGTAAGTTCAAAGTCAGCCTGAACTACAAAGTGAGACTCTGCCTTGAAAAACAGAAAGAAAGAAAGAAAGAAAGAAAGAAAGAAAGAAAGAAAGAAAGAGAGAGAGAAAAGAGAAAAGAAAGAAAAAGGAAGAAAGGAAGAATGGCTGTGAAGTCAGACCAACAGTGGGTTGTCACTCAGCTCTGGCACCTCCTAGACCTTTGACCTGAGAAAGTTACACAGTATCTCTGAGCCTCAGTTTCTTCATTTGCAAAATGAGAACAACAGGGGCCGGGGATTTAGTTCAGTGGTTCTGCTGCCTGCTGCGAAAGTGGAAGGACCAGAGTTTGATCCCCGGTACCAAAAAAAAAAATGAGAATGATAATAGCACCGGGTTCAGAGATTAAAAATGAAACCACTGCGATCATCAGCCTTGTTTCCGTGAACCCTTTCTAGAGCTATCTCTCATTCCCTACCCTGTGATGAGTGACAAATGCACATTCTAGAAATATCCCAACAGACCTCTGCCAGGTCTCATCTTTAAAATTTTCTGAGCTGGGTGCACACCTGTGATCCTAGCACTCAGGAGGCTGAGTCAAGAGGATCCCCGTGAGTTTGAGGCCAGGCTGGGCTACATAGGGAGACTCTGCCTCAAAAAAATAAAATAAAATTTTCTGATGCAACATCATGAGAAAAGTATCACTGCCCCTACAGGATTCACACACAGAAGAGAGAAGCCAGGTTCCCTGGGGAGGCCCAGGTGACCCCATCCCGGGACCCCGGCAGGCTGCACCCACACTGGAAGCTGCTGAGCACTTCTAGGACTCAGAGGGAGACCGGTACCTTTTTCCCAGCGTGGTGACCATGGCCTCAAAGGAGCTGTCATATCTGAGCAAGGGAAGGCTGTGTCCAGAGAGGGTGGACTCAGTGAACTCGGCCAGCCCGAAGTACTTCTTATTTTCAGGGTACAGGTCCACACCCTGAAACAGAGAGCCCAGCCGCTGGGTCAGGGCTCCAGGGAAGGGCAGGGTGAGGGCCAGCTACTTCCTGTTTTAATTTTTTATTTTGAGACAGTCTCTCTTAAGTCTCCAAGTTGCCCTGGCTGGGCTTGAATCTGCCATACTCCTGCCTCATCTTCCTGCATACCCAGCCCAGCCTGCTGGCTACATGGAGAGTCATTCTGCCCGGAGTCCACATCACCAAAGCCCCAAGGGCTCTACCAGGAGGTCAACACCCGAAATGCTGCTTGAGGCCCTGAACTCCGGCCCCAGAGAGAGCACCCCAGCTGCAGTCCAGAGGGCGACTCCTGAGCTGGGGAAGGCTTTTAAAATCCAACCCTGGATGAGACCAAAGCTCCGAGGAGCTGGAACCCCTCACCCAAGCCCAGGGTCCCCCACTCACGTTGCTGTAGGGCCCCGGCCAGTGGATCTCATTGTAGGGGCTGATGAGGGTGTGCTGGGTCTGCAGCGCGTACGGGAAGGATGTCACGTGCAGCATCACAATGTTGGGGGCCTCCTTCACCTCCCTGCAGTTAAGCAGTCTGTCCACCAGCCCCACAGATGGGTCGCTTTGAGAGTAAAGATTGTGGACGGCACTACTGAGGTGGGAGAGAAGAGAGAATGAATGCAATTACTAATACTGTTTTGGGATTTTTTTTTTTTTGAGACTGGCCTGCCTCTGCCTCCCGAGTGGTAGGGTGACAGGTGTGCACCACCACACTGGGCTTCATTTTGTGATTTTATAAAGGGGAAAGCAGTCAAATGGATTTAGAATGAGCCTCGAGTTTCCCTGTAATTGAAGCTTCTAGCTCTGCCCCTAACTAGGAAAAGAAACATGTGCCATTGGACTTCAGGCACTTGGGATTTTCCTGCCTCAGGCTCCCAGAGTGCCAGGGTTACAGCTATGTGGCACCACCACGCCCAGCTCATGTTCATTTTAATTGAGCAAAGTCACCCGTCAGGGAGGGTGGGCCCCAGCGCCAGGTGGTGCTCCAGGGGAGGGGCTGGGTTGAGCCCCTGGTGCGAGGACCCCACCCCAGGCGCGCGGGCAGCGGCTGACCTCACGAGGTCCCAGTGCGCATGGTCGTGGATGAGCAAGAAGAGCGTGTGCGGGTTCTGGAGGGAGCTCTGGAGAAACGCCTGGAACCTGGCATGCGCCTCGGCGTCCAGCTTCAGCACGTGCCGCTCCGCCCTCTGCCTGCTCCTGGGCTCGGGCTCCAGGCCCAGCTCCCGCAGTACCCCTGCCACGGCAACAGAGCCAGGTGTCCGCCCGCCCCGCCCACCCCGCGCCAAGCACGGCCTGGCTGTGTGCACCCACAGACCGAAAAGCAGGTGAGCCGGAGGGGCGCGAGAGGTCCCACCGCCACGCAAAGCCATCTCGGGTCCGAGTTGCAGCACTGAGGAGAGACTACGGGAACTGAACCCAGGGCCTTCCCCTGAGCTACGGCCCCAGCCCTTGGTATTTTTTATTTAGACACAAGGTCTTGCTAAGTCGGCCCAAATTGAGATCCTGCTGCCTCAGCTTCCCAGAGCACTGGGATTCCAAGCATGCACCACCAGCCTGGAGAGAGCAACTCCCTAGTGTTAAGACACCAGCTGCCTGTGTGCTCCACACTTAAATCCAGTGTCCCTGGACAGACATCAGGTAGAAGCCAGGTCACACAGCTGGGTCCCTGGCCTGAGGGACGCAGCAAGGGTTTGTCTCATTTCCCCCCTCATCAGGTCCTAAACCCCTGGGCAAATCCATATCTGAGACCAGCTTCACGGTCAATAAAATAAGAGCAAAGCCAGGCATGGAGGCGCTCGCCTGTCATCCCAGCACTGCGGAGGCTGAGGCAGGAGCATCGCCAGGAGTTCGAGGCCAGCCTGGACTACATAGCAAGACCCTGTCTCAAAAAAATAATTAATTAATAAAATAGGAGCAATGACCTTGCTCTGTCTACTCCACCTCCAAGGGGGGTGCTCACATCTGGCTGTGGGCTGCGGACATCCGAGGTTCTCGCCAAGCTCCCTGTCTCCTCATGCCCGTACCTGAGTGCCACACACGGCCCACGGTCTGCTGGAAGGCGACCTCAGAGGGTGGGATGCAGATGAGGAAATCCACCTTCTCAAAGGAGCCCAGGTCCAGGTTCTGGGTGCTGGAGTCCGCAATGGAGCACACGTGTGACAGCAGCTTGTGCGCCACAGCCAGCTGGAAGGGCCGCACGCCTCGTGGCTCGGGGTGGTCACCTGCAGCCAGGCGCCCAGTCGATGAGCAGGGGACCCACACTGACCCCGCCGGCCGGGGTCACAGGGCCAGTGCTGGGCGACCAGGACACCGCGACCTCACTCAGCAAGGAGGAGTTGCGCGCGCCTGCAGGACAGAGGTGCAGCGCCCGGGAAGGATGACACCGGCCGGGAGGACAGCAGTGGCCACAGGTCCTTGGGGCCTAGAGGAGCAGAAATCCGCCCCCCCACCCACCCAGCGCC